CACGCTTGCTGTCCAATCAGCATTTTTCCTGACTGGCTGGCCAGATGACGTCAGCACCTCTTTCCGTCCAGCCTGGCAACCGGCTACTGGGGAAAGTAGCCCGCATAGCGTATACCAAGAAACGAGGCGCTGGGGGAAGGGTTGCCCACTGTTGACAATTTTAATCCCGTGGTAACCTCCGTATACCCGTGATGCGTGATCCTGTGGTAATGCATCTTGAACAGAAGAATACACCCTTCATGACGAACTTGTTTATAATGTAGCGTTAAATATCTTAGCCACTAACGTTGTGGAAGCTACATATGGATAAAGGTGTGGTCGGAATATACACAGGCGTTCAGTAAAAGTCATAGGGTGCGTAAGTCGCCACGACAGGAAAGCTCTGCCGTAAAAGTGATGGAGATAGGATACAAAATAGAGTTGAGTGTTTGGATTCGCAGGATTCGAATATAATTGAACAGTTTCGGATCTTACGAACCCTTGAATCCTGAAAGCGGGGATTGAACCCTGATTATTAGCGTTCGAATCGTATAAACCACAGCCGAATCCTGACACCCTTCGTTTGAATATGCACATATTTGCATTAGAAGATGATCTAGGGTCAGATTTTCAACAAACAAAAAAGCGAATTCAAACTTATTTGTTAAAGTTGAATGCTATTCGAATTCGAATGTGAACTTGTTTTAGTCAGCTTGAAATCAATTTCAGTTCGAATGTAGCATTCAGAATTCATCCCATGTTAGAACAATAAAAATCATTTTCAAGAAACCTGCAGTACGTCAAGTTCATACCCTGCAGGTTTGTGTCACTCGCCATCGCGGTTTCTGAGGTTATGGGGAAATAGGGGGGGGGGGGGGGGGGCGTGTGTGATGCCTCTTCCCTTCTCTTGCTCATGTCATGTTGAAGGCCAGCCGTGGCAAGTATACGATGGCCAATGGGGCCAGCCACTCTTGGAACAAACCTGTGCCCACCTGACGAAGCTTTCCTCTGCAGGGATGTCATGCCCAGCACAGTCATTAGCTTATTGATGGGTCAAATAGCGATTTTGCGTAAAAGGAGAAACTTTTTTAGTTAAGGGAAACGGGGCAGCGCCATGCCTACCTTGTCATATACTGTACCTTACACTTCCAATTACGTTTGGTATAGAGCAGACTTAGCTTATCAAATGCCCATGTATCATCAAAACCCAAGGTTTTGACACACATGCTGGCACCAACGCCCGCCATTATCATTTTAGCTTAGTTAGAAATACACATTTGGCAGAAGCGTTGAGCACAGTTAGTCACAAACCAACAAAATGAGCAGAGGTGGGAATGATACGACAACAAATCAAAATTGTATGATAAGATTCCAAAAAAATGCACTACATTTTATTCAGTTCGGATCTTGAATCCCAATCCATCCATCCACCAAAGAATTCGATTCCCAACTTGCAACGAATTCTTAGCCCCAGACGATAGAACGATTGTGAAATGCTTGCACACTCAAAGCTTGACTCAGGAACTGCGATACGATGGAAGTTCGGCAGTTAATACAGTTCAGCTATTCTCACCTTTGAAAATATTTTGGAGGTCTAAAGGAAGCACTGGAAAAAATCTCGAAAAGTTTACGGATCATCAAATTAACTGTAATTCCCATGAACTTCTTTAGCGTTCTGACGTCTTAACTTTGACTTAATTAAGTTACGCAGCTAGCGGGTTACCTTCAACGGAAGTTAAATGCTGTTAAGATTTGCCCATCTCCATGTCAGGACCTCGTTTAAAGCATGTCCACCATGCACCGGGTAGGATGATCTCAGGTTCTCGCTTGGCCTAGTGCAACCAATGCATATTCGAAGAATCGCCCATGGATGTGTAGGGGTAACACGGTGCCTGTGTGCGCCACTGGGTGGTAATCGACCCTGCGCCGACTCTCCCTCCTCTCCCCGCCCGCCGGCCGCGCGGAGCCGCGGGGCGACCCAGGCACGGCGATCTCCACATCCGCACCCATCGCTGGTGCAGCGGGCCGAGGCACCAGGCCCGCGAGCGGGCGCCGCGCGTGCGGCGTGCGGCCGGCTCCTCTCGCCGAGCGCGCTCGTGCAGGCGCGGCAGCCGGCGGGCGGCGCGGGCCCGGGGCGTGACACGCCCGGCGCTCTCTGAGAACGCCGCCGCCGGCCGGCGTAGGCACGGATCACTGACCTGCCGCGCCACAGACCGTCAGCCGCCAGCTGAGCAGGGCGGAGCACAACTGACGCCCTTCGTGATATGCACGGTATGAGGGCGTGGACCAGAAACTACTCGTGTTCATCTACTCCTGTTATCCATCACCAACGCAAGCATCGAAATGCTTATCACAGCCAGGCGCGTGATCGAAATTTCCTTCTTTGCTCTCTGCATAATAACAGTAATTTTTGTCCGACCTGCTTATTACGCAGTGCAATCTATTAGAAGCCTAAGTCATAGTACTACATCGTGAAACGCTCTCGGGTGATGAACTTAACAAACTGTGCGTGAGGTGCATACGAACACAGCGGTGCTACCGAACTACACAGTGACGCTACTTTCAGACAGCACCGTGTGAGTAAGCCGGTAATATGCGAATCTTGCTCCTCACCTGACTCCTCAGCAATGGACAAATGGCGAAAGTAATTGCGACCAGGTAATTTGTTGTCCTTACGCGCGCGTGTACCGCGGAAGTAAAAAGGGATGTAAGCTTAAGCCCCGCCGTATGATGCTGGTCATTCAAGACGGAGGCATAGCTGGTAGGCATGTGGCCACGAGAAGGAATGAAAAACGCCCTGAATTGGTGATTCAGGATGTGGATTATGGCTAGGTTCTTTTCACAGCGCCCTTGCCTGACTTCCGACCGATATATGAGTACCTAGGTTTATCTTTGGTGGTAATCTAGATTTCATTGATAATCCTGTGCAGTTTCGCTTCATGGCTCTATGAAAATATTATTCCGCTGCAGACGCGAGCGCCGAAGGAATTAATTGCCGATGTTTTTGTCTTCCCGAGTTAGCGTTTTTGCTATCACCACGCTGAGTGAGTATGTGGTGGCAGAGCGGAATTAGGCCGAGTTATGAGGAGCTAGGAAGATAGACTCAGGGATAGCTACGGACGACTGGAGAGGTCTGTGGCGATTACCCGCAATACTGAAAAAACTGATGATTGAGCTGCAAGCATGCGTGAGAAAGAAGTGTGGAACTGAGGCTCAAAGAGCTCATGAGGCTCCAAGAATGATGTGAAGAAAGGTACCGGAAGTCATGCGTCGTGCGGCCGCGTGGGCCCACGGCGGGTCAACACTTGCCACATTTATGGAGCCATGTGTAGTAGGCCTATTGACAATGGGTTCCAGGGCCGGCTTTCAGCCGGCCTGGTCAGCGGTTAACCGGCGCGGCCGGCTCTGTTTATGCCTCCGGGCCATTGTCCACGTGACCTGGCCGAGGTCGCGTGTGCGGACCGGAGCGGCCGCGGACTGGAGGTAGGGACGGCCGGTTGAGGTCGGGGATTAAATCTGTCCTGAGCAAGTGCTGGGTGTTGTTGCGCATTTAGTATCCGAATCGTAATTCAAATACAAGTCATCAAAAGTAAACACATTTGTAAACGTATCACATCGAGCTGTGGACCTATAACGTCATAAGGTGGTTGGGAGGGGTTGGAGGAGGGAGAGGAACGGTTAAGAGATCTGCCTACTATCAAGGGGGCAAGAGCAAGAGTTGAGAGGGAACGGCTGTTGCAATGCAGCGTGTAAATATCTTGGAGATATGTCGCAGAAGTCATAAACTTCGCGACTTAGCTGCACAAATATTTTATATGACACATGACGTCTTGTGGAAATAGTGGAAGGCATGCCTTACGCTCTGCGTTTGTCCGCCGCGAGTTCTGGCGTCGACTGGCGCGTGTCAGCTGACGTCAGACCGAGCTGCCGCGGGGCGGTCTCGCCCGGCCATTCCTGGGTCTTCTTGCTGATTTTGCTAGGGAGTCGGTTGTGCTCGGATGCGTGCGCAGAGGATCGGTGCAGGCTGGTAACCAGCATTGAACAAGCGTGATAAATAGGCTGCTCACAAAATCCCCGTGAAACACTTTTTTATGAAGTGTTTGGAAGAAGCCACACCGCTGCGTTGTCCTAGAAGAAGGGCACTTTGAAAGGAATGCAACTGGCTTTAAAAGAGTGACTTTCGACTCACTTGGAAACATATGTGAATTTTTTTTATATATTTGCCGGGACCTTGTCCCTCTTGTACATGCAGAGGCTTTGACTCCTTCCCATGCAAAAAGCGTGCATGCTTTCAAGCGCATGCTTTCAATGCACATGTATAGATACATGAGCAGGTTTAGATACCGGTCTAGGTGCGGGTTTAAGCACATGTAATATGTAGATGAAGGTGTAGGTACAGGTGTCATGCAAGTAACAGGTATGCCTTCACTAACAGTTATTGCAAATATCTCACTCATGCTTGCAGAAACAAATCGTACGCAATTGCGAGGGTGTCGCCTCCCTTTACTTTACGTTATTGTGACACATTTTTGTATTCCTTCAACCGTAGCAAAAGCGACATGTATGCCCAATCACTTCGAAATAGCGAAAGTCACGAATGGCAGGTCATTCGTGTCGGCCGTTTTCATCGCTACAGCGGTAGGTCAGACATTTCGAAAGTTGTAACGGAACACTTCATGTTTTGCGGCAGTGTGCCTTCCAAAGCGATTTTGCTGGACTCAGTGTCTGCGAACCCAATGTGGTTCTATACTCTGAATGTATGGCGTGTTGGATGATCTGTGGATGATGATGATGATGATGTTAATAATGACGATGATTGGATGGTTTCTGAGCTGACGATACCCAATGTCGTTAAGCCGACTGAAGAGAGAGACCTCCACCAGCCACTGCACAAAGCTGCTCAGCTCACATTCGTAGCGTGACCCGATGTTTGCAGATCGCGGCTACACTGTTCTCGTTGTCGCTGCGATGTAGTTTGCTGATTTTGCCGCAGCAATGATTCGTTTCCCCTGTTTTTCCAGGTTACAACGGCGATGTACTTGGCCAAGCGCCAGCCGGGCCGGTCGTAGCGATGAGCTGCCTCCTCCGTCCGCTGGTGGCGCTCCTGGCGCTGTCGGTCGCCTCAGGCGATGACCCCGTGGTGACCCAGGTGGACCTGAGCGGGGAGGTCAGTCGTCTGACCCACCTGCGGGTCAGTCCGGACTCGGGACACGTCTATGTGGCCGGGGTCAACCGGATCTATCAGCTGTCGTCAGCGCTGGCCCGACTGCAGGAGGTGACCACCGGACCCCAGCAGGACAGTCCGCAGTGTCCCGCTTCCGGGTGCGCTGAAGGCGTAGAGACGTCACCCACAGACAACGTGAACAAAGTGCTCGTGGTGGACCAGGAGGCGAGGACACTACTGGCTTGCGGATCCGTGCGGCAGGGAGCGTGCGTCAGGTACGAACTGGCGAACATAACGCAGCCCAGTCAACGGTTGCCGCGTGCCATAGCTGCCAATGACGCCAACTCGTCGACGGTAGCCTTCATCGGACCGGAACACTACAATCCGTGGGGCAACACAAACGTGCTGTACGTGGCCACCACCTTCACACTGGTGGGCAACTACCGCAACAACGTGCCGGCCATCTCCACGCGTAACCTCCATGACCTGGACTTTGCCGAGCGTTCCTTCAACAAGCACTCTATGATGACCATCGACGTCAAGTACCGGGACCACTTTCTGGTGGACTACGTGTACGGCTTCCACGAGGGTGACTACGCCTATTTCCTGACGGTGCAGAGACGCTCCCATCTGCCCGGTCAGCAGGAACAAGGCTACGTCTCCAGGATCGTGCGCACCTGTGTCACGGACGCCAACTACGACAGTTACGTGGAGATGACGCTGAGCTGTGGTGGCGACAACCTGCTTCAGGCGGCGCGTGTGGCAGAGGCCGGCCAGGACCTGACCTGGGACGCTGGCGTTCTGGACCGTGACCGAGTGCTGGTGGTGGCCTTCTCGCCCAGTCAGGGCTTCACTAACGAGCCCCGAGAGCGGTCGAGCGTGTGCGTGTTCTCCATGAAGGAAGTCGAACAACAGTTCAACGAGAACATCCACATGTGCTTCAACGGATCGATGCAGTACCGCAACATGGAGTACATCTCAGGTCCCGTCCTCAACGGACAATGTCCGAAAGCCGGGGTAAGTCCATGCTTCATAATTAGCATTCATTCTTTCTTTGACTGTTAGCTGGTTATTGGGTCTTTATGAGGCACTGGACGGTGGAGGCCATATGCCACGCCCGTCTCTCACACTAAGAGGAAGTGCGTGTACCACGGGAGTCGAACACCGTACTTCTAGTTTTCTCAGACACTCACTAAGCCCACTAAACTGCTGGAACCTCCTACCTTTCTTTTGACTGTTTCTGTAGACAGAAGTCTTTGTTTTGGTCCGTTTGACCGCATTTTTTCACCACTTCGTTTGTAAGCGTATGGTAGGTACGAGGTAAAACGCGATTCATTTTATTAAAATTATCTTACGACATCAAGCGTATTGCCTACAACTTGGTTTTGCACGAAATGCTTGTGATGTGTTGCTCGATGGTCCAAACGATGCAAACTCCCAAACGACATTGGCAGAGAGAGTTCCTGACGGAAAGTCAGGAGTCATTCATAATAATTGCTTGCGAAATTATGTTTTAAATGCTTCCTCGTTCGGTGCCTGCTATTGTTTGCCAGCCACTACAGCATGCTCATTAGAACCACTCACTCCACACCATGTGTAGTTGGCGTTACATGTGGAGGGGCGCCAATAGTGCATTGATTAACGCGTCCGTGTCAACCACTGCGCGTCTGGGGAACCAGAGGTACAGGGTTCGATTCCCTCAGTGCCCGCCCTTCCTGCCAGGGTGAGACACAGGCGACACCATACAGCCTCAGCAGCTGAGTGCGTCTCCAATGACGACATAGTTATATTCTTCGCATGACCTGATTTGACCTGGTGTGCCGTGATGCGATGTAGTCATCTATGTGTGACTGGGTCAAATCATGCGCGTCAAGTGATGTAACCCCAGGCGTGTTAACTTGACGGGAAACAGTCTTCATAGCGCCTTTCATAGGCATGCTGTCGATCTCAGGGTACTTTTGGTGTTAAGGAGTGTAAGCAAGTCAGCAAGCCTAAAACTGCAGGGTTGTCGTGCTTCTGTGTCAAATTTTACAAGACATCTGCATGCAACATAATGTCAGGGGCATTGGTAGATTCAGCAGATTGCTCATGAATGCACCACTACCTGTGTTCTTCACACAACAAAATGCAACCAAAGTAGGACGTAAGACAGGCTAAAGCAGCTGGTGGCACATTTTCACTGCCATCCTGACCTCTGCCGCCCCGTCCCGTTTGGCCCTATCAGACACGCAATTTCCCCAAATCAAATAAGGACCCAGCGAGCTGAAATGATTGCAAATTATTATAAAACGGACTCCATTCGTTTATTTTGAACTGAATCCGGCAATCAATGCCTAACTCCGTCCAATTTCCCGTTTTAAATTGGAGGGCACAGTGCGATGGATTTAGGACGCTCAAACGATATGAGCGCATATGGGCGCATACATCGTGGTGTTTGACGGCAATCCCCAGTTGAACCCCCGAAATTACATGCCCCATGAAATGCATCATATCAAGAGGAAAAAATTGAGCTATGATCTGAATAAACGAGGCAGAGGAAATGCCAGTATGGTTGAATCCCGGGATTTTTATTGCTCTACGGTGAGAGATGTGATGTCAAGTCAGCCCTCAGTATCGAAGTCGGTTATTGGGTTACAAGGATGCAATCCATACATTGCGAGTCACGAAATTCGAGGCTTATTATTGCTTGAGTGCTGTTGCGTAGGCACACCAAGTACTTCCACTCTCACAAGCAGCCACCACAAGCGTTCCACACGGTGACGAGCGCACCTCAGCAACCTTGAAGGACATCAGCGCTTCCAGATCGCCTGTCCGTGCATGCCGAGGAGGGGATGCCACGACGGGTTGCGGGTGTTTTTGCCGTAAAAAAGAGGAAACGCGTTACGGCGCGGTACCATCCAGAGAAAATACAGGGGGCACCGACCACAATGGATACCAAATGAACCTGAATACATGTACCTGTGGTTTTCTAACTTGTGCATCTGGCCAGGAAGTCTGTATCTATGGGTTCGGGAGGTCGACCCTGGTTAGTTGTAGACCAAAATCGAATTATGATGGAGGAAGCTCGTCATTAGTGGGTGGCGATATCCTGCCCGGACACCGAACGACTGCGGTACCGGTAGTGTAGTGGTTAAGTAGGGCGTCTGGAAAACCATATAGGCACGGAGTTCGATTCCCCCATTCATTGCCACTCATACGCGCTTCACCTACCCGCTGCCAGAGGGATGGCCACTCATACGCGTCACCTGCCTGCTACCAGAGGGATGGCCACTCATACGCGTGTCACCTGCCTGCTACCAGAGAGATGGCCACCCATACGCGCGTCACCTGCCGACTACCAGGGGGATGACCACTCATACGCCCATCACCTGCCTGCTGCAATGGGGGATGGTGACTCATACGCCTGTCATCTGCTTAGTACCATGGGGGATGGTGACTCATACGCCTGTCATCTGCTTAGTACCATGGGGCATGGTGACTCATACGCCCGTCACCTGTCTGGTGCCATGGGGGATGACCACTCATACGCCCATCACCTGCCTGCTACAATGGGTGATGGTGACTCATACGCCTGTCATATGCTTAGTGCCATGGGGGGTGGTCACTCATACGCCCGTCAAAGGCCTGCTGCCATGGGGGATGGTCACTCATACGCCCGCCACCTGCCTGCTACCATGGCTAAGTTCGCTTCAGACGTCACACCGCCGCTAGGAGCTTCGGCCTTGGCGCTGCCCTGTATGCTGCCAAGCACGGTGCATCGTATGACGACGAGATGGGCAAACCTGAACCATTTTGGGGTGCTGCATGGGACGAGGTCATTCATAACAAAACAAAAATGCAAGATTTATAGCCAGAGAACACACTCGTAGAGACGTGGAAAGGTGCCAATAATTTTTAAACGCATGCAGACAATGTGTTATAACACGAGGAAGCCATAGTTTCCCGAAGCAATGCCTGGGAACTTCTTCCAAGCCGACACATGTGGGTTCTTATTAAAACACTGAATATCAGAGAAAACACTTGCACGCCTGCTAAATTTGTTGACTGACCAGCAAGTCCAGGAACATCTGCTCCACAAAAAGCAGTGACCGCTTGCAAGGAAAAGGCAAATACTTTGTTTAGCGTGCTGTAAATAATGTATACATAGGAAGACTGATACAACGATAGTTCACCCACCTAACTAAGAGCCCCGATACGCTGTCAGTGAAAGCTGTAAATGTTGAAACTGCGACAGACCGATTGTAGACCAGTAGCAACGCGATGGATTTATCACCCTTACTCGACCTACACATTACGCACACCTTACCTTACTTTATGATGTGATCTCGTGTAAGATATCAGGCCGTAATGTGTCACCAGGTAGCATAGCACAGATACATCTCACGCGTTAATAGCTTGGTTTCCTATTTCACTCAGATGTGCTGATATTAAGATGTCGATATTTTGGTCGTCGGGCCCGTTGCAGTCGCGAAACTGAAATAGAAACATATTTCGGCTGCGGGGTAATACATGGACCAAGGCGTAACGTCGGTGTTACCGTCAAGTGGCCTGATGACGGCAGTCAGGGTCAGTTGTACTTGCCAAAGATTTAGGATATGCAAGTTTTGTTGTAATCTGTTCAACCATTAAGTCATCGTTCCCAGGCTGTTCCTGCCTATCACTGACCAATAAATTCAGGATTGTAACGGCAAAACGGATATTTAAAGAATGACAAATATATTTTCAGGAGCAATGCTGACTTTCGTCCTACCATGGAATGTGAAAAAATTGGAAATGTGTTAGTGTGCAGCTTCCTGCCTTGAGACATTAAGTGAAGCGAATCCGTCCTCGTGCTCCCGCCACTACGTCACCTCATGTCCATTTCAGACGACTGGCAACATCCTGCACTTCTGCTCTGTGGGTCTGAAGATCTCGGCCCTGCAGCCGCTCACAGCTGACCCGGTCATCTCATTTGACCAGCGGGTGACCAGTGTGGCCGTGACCTCTACAGGTCACCACACCGTGGCGCTGCTGGGCACCGACCGCGGATATGTTAAGAAGGTGAGTTAATTCTGAATGTTATGCGAGAATTCGCTGATGCAGTCTGTGTCTGGGAAGTGCAGCGAGGACAGTAATTCCCTTCTTTTATACATTCTGTGCCCGACTTTAAACGTAAGTTGGGTACAGCTTCGGAAACGCTCATATCGAGAAAGAAACTGAGATATGGCTTTGATGTCACATTTTTCATCCAAATTGTCATAACACGCGTCAAAGCTGTCTACTTGGAAATTGCTGGTATGCACTTTATTTCTTCTTTTTTTGAATAGCCCTTTCAAAGTAAGTTTCAGTGCCCACTTGAACCCGCCAACTTGGTACCGTGTCGATGGCATGATACAGATGCTTTTATTACTGCCGTTTCAGCCTAGCCACTTCTGCAAAGCAAACAAGGTTGTGCACTAGATGACAGAGTATATGTGATGCGCATTTCATGCATGACACTGATTGTATAGGTCTTTAATAATAAAACTGCACTCAAACAGTGTCGCCATGTTTAACACTGCTGACGGGACAGCGGTCAAAATTGTATTCCATCTTCGTTGATACCATTTCCGCAGCACTACGCAGAGCTACAACATTTGCTCTATATAACTGCTGTGGTTAGAAGCTCGATTGCCGTTGATTTCAGAGTCCCCAAGTGGGATGTATTTTTACTGGGCTTTGACTACTTCCCTCTTGCCTTATGGCCCGAACTGTAGGGTATTCTTATCCACGTTTTTTAGCGAAGCAGTACATATGATTGTTAACGTGTCAAATTGAGCTGTGACGAAACCGTTTGCGCTGGAAATGATAGTGAATCCGTCTTGTCTGGAAAATTGACGCTGTTTGTGAAAATCGAACCCAGTGTCCCGCGTCCCGAATATTTTGTCCGGCACTCATAATGCGAGGTCGGCTTGCTTACCCCGGTATGACAAAGGGATGTCAGCTAGCCACTATACCCTATGACAATGGATGACGGCCCAAGGTTTATATTAAAGGCTGACGCTACCAGACCACCCCCCCCCCCCCCTCCCCCCATCATACCAGTGCCGTGTGTTATGCTGTGGGGTGTAGGTGACTATCACAGCCTCCCGGGGCGTGACAAGACCGCCGACATGGTGGCATGAACGTGGAGTGGACGCGTGCGACAGTGCTACAGAACTGCGGGGCCCTTCTCTTGTCCGCCAGCGCACCTATTACCGTATGCGAGCCTCTGACGACGTGCCTTCCCGGGAAGTGCGAGAGATTTCCGTCGCGCGCGTTCTCCCCCATTACCGGACGTCTTTCGTCAGTGTTGAAATCGGCCTGTGTCGTCGACGCTTGCCTCATTAGCCCTCGACACGCGTCATCACGCGGCGCCATTAGAGGCCGCAGGCTGCGCTGCCAGATCGCTAGGGCTGCCAGATTGCGGCAGCGCCGCATGCGGCGAGCAGAGCCAGTGTTCGGGAATTTGACTGTCGGTTATCATTGGGCCTTCAGCTTGTTTCGGCACGCTATTATGCGACTTTTGGCAGCGTGAGCTTTTCATATGATTACGCGGGTAGATTCCCACCCCGTGTCTTGACCGTGACGAACCGTTCTTTCGTCACTTCATTATTCCAAGCATGCATTGTGCGGTTGAAATATCGATGTCAGGCGTCTTGGAGTTATATTTCTTAAAGATTTAGTCCGAACCTTTTGCATGAATGGGTTTCGGGGATAACAGCTCACGCTAGGAAGTGCTCGTTGTGTGAGCCTACCATCCATGTTTATGGGAATAGGAATTTGATTAATTTCAGGTAAGCATAACGTTCGCGGGTGTGCCGTTGCCGACCTTTCAGGCAACCAGCCCCTTTTCTCCCGAAAGCTCAACCGTTAAGCTCTGTGTCCCAGTGAAACATTACAAAACATAAAGCCGCTCCGTCAGGTCGGAAAACGAGCGCCCTGGCGAGTTCGCACGATGTTTATATCACTTGTATTGCGCACCTATTACCCCAATCCGTCTGTCCCTGTCTATAGTTCTGCCATCTTATTAAGCCACTCCGAGCGTGGCTCGTGCCCCTTCCCAATTTAGATTGCACGGGCTCGTATAAGCTCGTTTGGCAGGCGGAGGCTATAGCCCGGGAATTAAGGCCGGTCCGGAAGCGACTTCGCCGAGGCAAACTTTGCGTTTTCGCCCAATTTGGCCGCTTTTGTGCCAGCCGTTGGGGGCCGAATAAACCTACAACGTGCCTCACCGTGGAAATTGGAACGGGACTCCTGGCAGATTGCAGGCCGTGGTGTTGCCGACTTGTGTTGGCAATCGGACGGGCAGGCACAACGTATGGTTTGAATTTAAAAGTGAAATCGCCGCGAACATGTT